TGTGTATATTGAGAAATGGGATCATGACCACTGGCTGCTCCCCCATTTTCCCAGAGGCTGCATGTTTGGCTCTCATAACTAAGGTTCCCTGGTACATACAGCTGTATGTGAAGGTTCAAACCAACTCTCCTCACTTTCTGAATTTAGTGATTGCAGGGGATTTCCATTCGCCGAACCATATTATCAATCATTGGTAGGTCTGTGGAAGTGATCTGTTTAAATGTTCAGAGGAGAAGGAGAAGTTCGACACTTTGGTGCCATTTTCACAAGCATCTGCAGAAGAACGCCACATCTAGTTCCCCATCTGGAAATGTATGACTGCAGTTCTGAAATAAAACAATGACATTTCTATCCTCTTGGTGTTTTTTAGGCTTCATTCGAAAAGGGTGGTGGGGAAAGAAAACGGGAAGCAAATGAACCACCAATAGCCTGGTAACTATCAGGCTTCGGGGAACTGGAACCCTCCCCTGGTGGCAGTAATTAAGCAGATCAAACGAAAGGAGCATTCTTACCAGATAAGTTCTTTAATAATCACAGTGAGAGACAAAGGAATGCACATCACTCTAAAAAATGGTTTTGCTCCCAGTAAAGGTTCACCCCCTCCGTCCCCATTAATCTACACCACTCCTACATTGGGTAATCTGAGCTTGTTGCTGTTGCGCTTTCTGTTCCATCACTTTCCAAGGCTGTCAAGTCGTAGGCAAAGGGGTGGGGCGGTCAGGAATGCTGTCCAAGGACACTGAATCTGCCAGCTGTCTCTCTCCTGGTGTTTCCTCTTCTAGTTGCTCCTCACCCAGTATTTCCCAGCTTTTCCCTTCTGGACTATGACCTTCTGCAAACCACTGTTCTAAATCAATACTGTCTTCCTTCCCATGGGAAGGTTCAGAAAAAAGGGAGGGCTCCCACCATTCATCCTCAGTCTAGTCCCTGACACTAACCCAGAGTGAAAAATAGGGCACAGCTGTCTTCTTTTGATCTTCAACATCACTCTCATGGAGAACAATTCAGTCAGGAGGCCCAGGAGGCTGTGGGTTCTTCAGATCATTGCTTTGCCCTGAGCTACAACACCAGGCTCCTGTCCAACCTAACCAGGACCCTCTTAGCTTCTACTGACACTGAAGACTGAAAGGGGAGCAAGCATCATCAGAAGAATAATTCATTGCCCTCTTTGGTAACAAAGCTTGAAAGTAAAGGTGAGCTTTTACTTGTCAGTGGGAAAAAGCTGATGCTCATTGTCAAATCTCTCCAGTATTCCGTAAGTAGCTGCTGCTGCAGGAAGAAAACCCTGCCCTCTGCCCCCATCAACCTCATCACAGAGATAAAAGGAACATGGGGCAGACCAGCATTTTCAAAAGAAGAGAGATGAAGAAACATGGACTCCTGAAATTGTCTGGCCAATTTATAGGCAACAAAACTGAGATGGGCTATTTTACCGAATATTTTATCTGGAAGGTAGCAAAATTGTCCAACAGTTTGAGGTGTGTGTATATGTGTGTGCAAAAGAATGAAAACTCTCAGCAGATTTCTTAGACATGTCTCTTCTGAGAAATTTCAGCTCATTTAACACTTAATGAAAGTGAATTGTGAGTTCATACTTGTGGGTGAACAAAGCAGAGGGCCAGGAAACAAGGACTGGAAGGAACAAAGGCAAGTCCCATCACTTCCTTCAGCAATGCTAAAATAATATTTTAAAAGGATCAGAAGTTGGTGTTTCAGAACAGAAGCTAGAGCCATGGTAGTAATTATCTTTCTTGTTGCACCTTTTATTTGCAAGGCCTTCTGAGACAATAGATGGGAACGAGCTGAAGAACTTGGATCAAACAAGTATTACTGTATGTGAGAATGAATGATGCCCTGTGAAACTATCAACTATTCAGGCCATTCGTTGTGGCTATTCAAGCTATTGTAAACTGCCATGCTGGAAAGTGATTCCAAAACTATTTTTAAACGTTCAGTTTCAGTAATCAAAATGTTCATAGTCTTCTGAAAGATCTCTGATCTGTAAATGTTTTCAAAGGATTATCGACCAGATTTTTGTTGTTGTCTCTGCCAGCCTAAATTCTTTTTCTGTTTTATTAAAATGCAAGATATAAGCACAAGCACATCTCTTTCCCCCTTTGCCTCATTTCTAGATCGGCCTGGCAATTTCCCTGTATATTCTGGTTAACAACAGTTCAGCAATGTTCATGCTAATTTAAGCATCCTTCGTAGCTTACAACAGACAATAAACAGCAATTGCAGTAAATAGTCTGGGTTACTGACAGCTATTTTCTTCTCTTGTTCAGATTGCTTAAAATTCAATCAAAAAGTTTGATTCTTTAAGTATGAAAAAGAAGCAAGAAATAGTAAGTGTTGTTAGTTACTTAAAAGTTGCAGATATCTGCTAAGTTTATTTCCAAAAGATATGAGAGGATATTATTCACTCCACAAGTGGTAGCCAAGAACTGCACAGAGGAATATTTAATATGTGACATCTGGAGAAGAAATATCAAACTACCAGAATTCATGTTAACTGTACATTAGCACAACACACCTGAGAATACATGTCTACTTCAGTAATGTGCATTGTATGGGTATTTGTAGATCTCAGCTTCTAGGATACTAGTAATGGATTCAGTTTCTACAGTCCAAACACAATCTCCATTATATATCTTGAATCAGATTTATACTGAAGAGCTATTCAATCCCTGGAGGGCCATCATATTTGATGGGGGCTCCATTTATTACTTGAACAACTAACAGGAGACTCAGACCCCAGCAGAACAAGATATGGTTCCAATGCTTTCCCCTAAACAACTCTCCTCCTTTCCTGTTTCCCACTCTCAGCCTCCCTGATATTGGAGCACTGAAATCCGTTGAGACAGGGGTACTAAGCATTCAGCAGCAGTAGGGAGGGATTGTCCTGACATCAGATCTCCCATTCTGATGTTGAAGAGGGAGCTCTGATCTATTGTCAGTGTACTGCCAGAAGCAAAGATCACCAGTGTTGAAGCAATGATTCTTCAACATCAACTTCGTTGGACTGGTCATGTTGTGCAGATGCCTGTTGATTGTTTTCCAAAGCAACTACTCTATTCTGAACTTAAAAATGGAAAGTGTAATGCTGGTGGTCAACAAAAGAAGTTTGAAGACTGTCTCAAGGCAAATCTAAAAAAAAAATGTAGTATAAACACTGACAACTGGGAAACACTGGCCTGTGAGTGCTCCAGTTGGAGAACAGCCTTTACCAAAGGTGTCATGGGCTTTGAAGACACTCGAACTCAGGGCGCAAGGAAGAAACGTGCTAAGAGGAAGGCACACTTGGCAAATCCACACCGTGATCAACTCCCGCCTGGAAACCAATGTCCCCACTGTGGAAGGACATGTGGATCCAGAATTGGCCTCCACAGTCACTTACGGACTCATTGTTAAAACCATGTTTATGGAATACAATCTTACTTGACTACAAGTGATCGCCAAAGAAGAAGAAGAAGAAGATAGCTGCTAAGTTGTCCTGCCAGGGGCCACAGAACAGCAGTCTTAAAGAATGATTACAGCTACACTGATTGTTTTACTGCAACTTTTATCTTAGAATCATAGAATCATAGAGTTGGAAGAGACCACAAGGGTCATCGAGTCCAACCCCCTGCCAAGCAGGAAACACCATCAGAGCACTCCTGACATATGATTGTCAAGCCTCTGCTTAAAGACCTCCAAAGAAGGAGACTCCACCACACTCCTTGGCAGCAAATTCCACTGTTGAACAGCTCTTACTGTCAGGAAGTTCTTCCTAATGTTTAGGTGGAATCTTCTATGTCTAATTTTGAAACCACTTCAGTTTTAATTACAATGAAACAGTGTCAAAGAAAGAAAGAAAGAAAGAAAGAAGTATATAGATTGCCTCTTTGCAGTGGATAATGGCTGCCAAACTAAACTCCCAGCGCCCTAGTGGAATCATCAGCTAATTATTTTTTCCAGGCGGTTTTCTTTCAGTTGTCCTTAACCTTCAGTTCAAAAGTGACATACATACAATTGGTATTTTTGATATGTTAATGTAAGCGCTATATTGTTTCATTTTCCCTCCAAGGTCTTATTACTTTATTGCCAGATGCTGTTCCAAATCCCTTAGCAAGGAATAGGCTATACAGGGGGGGAAATCTTATTTTTAATTCACCGTATAGAAATATCTTAATACTACTTAAATATATCCTTCAAATATTTAGGTCATAACCCAGCACAAGCATACATAAGCCCATTGATCTCATGTGGCTTAAAAGCTCCAAAATCTGTGCTGGATTGTGGGGTCTCACTGTTAAATTCCAAATTAAAGACAATTATTTCTAAAGACTTGCAGTCCTTGCATAGGAATGTGTGCACTGACTTCACTGGGGCTTGCACCCAAGTCATTGTGCATAAGAGAACAGCCTTGGGGATTTTCAGTTAGATCACACAATGGGAATTATTTTAATATGTGTTTTAGGAATGGTTCTTTTTTTAGGTTGCAGAAAGATGAAATATTTAAAAAGGTCTCACAGCACATTCACAATGCTGCCAGTTTTAGTCACACTTAAGGTAACAGATAACTGTGCCAGTGACGTGATTGCTAGTTGAAAATAGTTGCAGAAGAGGACAAACCCAAATGATTACGGTGATGCAGATCTTTCCATATCAGAAAAGGTTAAAATATTTCAGATGTTTTAATCTTAAGGCAGCTAAGGGTGGGGGGCATGATAGAAGTTTATAAGATTAGGTACAGAGTACAGAAAGCTAATAGAGAGAATCTTATTTTTCTCTATCTGCCATAATTAAGGTTGGGTGGTGGAGCAGAGACTTTTTACTAAATATTTGGGGAGAGGATATTTACCAACTTCCTTTATAGAAAAATATGTTCTGAAAAAGTTTGTCTCACTTCATATTGACTGAAATGCTATAGTGAGTTCCTGTCAAGGATGCTTTCCAGCCAAAGAAATGCACGAGGAAGATAGTTAACTCTTTATTGTCAAAGAAAACACTTACAGTTGCTTCTACAGATACCTACTCACACCAATCTAACATCTAAGCAGCTATTCCCAGGTCTACACTCTATGGAATAGTTGCAGCCACAGGGGACTCCCCCCCTCCAATAGTTTATATATCTTTCACTGATGGGTTGTGCGTAGGCAGCCAGAGACTGTGCCTGCATGGCAACATCCTCTGCTCATCCCTTTTCAACCCCCTCTTGGTTCTGGGAGGCAGTGGTTCAGGGAAGGATGGGGAAGCACCTGGCAACTGTTGGAATTCTTTCCCCCGTGCTGCAGATGTGTGATTGTTGTTGTCACGTGTCTGTGTTTACATTCCACAGTGTTGGATGTCATGGGAATGGATGTTCAGATACGCTGTTCCGTTCTGTATTGCTTTTGTTTTTTCTCTTCTCTTGCTGATGAAGAAAGTAAGAGGAGCCATGTTTTCCTTTGTCCTGTAAATAATAAACATAGTGCTTCGTATCCATGCCTCAAGCCTCACTTTCGCTGTGTGCTGATATCTGCTGATACTGCGTGCAGATGCTTACGGATATCTGTCACACCGGTGGCTCGGGAGGAGGATTAATCACCCGAGTGGCACTTCGAAGGGAGTAACACACCAGTCGTGGTGTTGATTTCTCAGTAGCAACTTCATTTGCCTAACTTGCCTCTTCCTCCTCTTCTTCTGACCCATCCTGTGCTCCATCCGCCAGCTGCCTCTTGCCTGCTGGCTGTTACAGTTCCCCACAAATCACTTACCCCCTCTCTCAAGTCAGACTCCAGCCCCCCTTCCTCTGGTGCACACTCATCAGCATTCTGCCAGTCCCTGCCAGCTGCTAATGGAGGATGAAAAGCAATGGGCTAAGATGGAGGACTGGAAGGAGTTGGGGCCAAGACCAATCCTTCCATCCACACTATTAAAATAGCATTAAAATTGGTTTAACAGTTTCATGCAAAAGTCAAGGTTGGTAAAATTAGGAAGCACATTTTACTGAATATTTTCCATGAAAGAACTGAAATTCTCCAGCCATTCAGGAGGTGTTCAGGAGATAGACAGACAGACAGACCTTGGTCATAATACGGGAACTCAATATCATCTAATTAAAGTGACTTGCATGAGATTCAGGATAGATTGTGCACATGATACAAAATTAATTTACAGAGTTTGTTACCATATGATAGCACCTAGTTTGGATGGCTTTGAAAGTGGATCAGACTAATTTCATTGGTCTGTCGGTGGGTACTAGCCATGTAGCTATATGGATTTTGAAACTTCAGATACAGAGGCAGTGTGCCTTTGAGCACCAGTTGCTGGAGAGGAACTGCAAGAGAGGGCTGTCACATTCAGGAGTCAGGAGGTGTTGCCTTCAAGTCCTGTTTGTGGATTTTCTAGGGACATCTGGCTGGCCAGAGGATGCTAAACTAGATGGACCTTTGGTTTGATGCAGCAGAGCTCTACTTGCATTCTTAAGACCATAGCCCTCACCACTCCTTGCCTCCCTCCTGCCTCTTCATTTGTCTTTGTCCATAGCTAGAGAAAGTTGACAAAGCTTCCTGGGCCTCATCCAGCACTGTAAGCCCTCTTTAGATTGTATCTGTCTCCAGTAATATTTGCTAACTGATCTTGTAAATGGGTACCTAAGTTCTTTTAAAATCTGTCATCATTAATTCAGATAAACAGGATTTCAAATGGTTTGATAATATGCAAGTGATTCTGAATAGAAGCCATTTAATGTGGTCCATCAATGACAAAAGACAAATTCAGAAACTAAACCCAGTATAATTTCAAGTAAACTACATATATGGTCTTGTTCACACATGCATATGCATCGCTTGTACTATTTTATTGTTGTTAGCAGCCCTGAGCCCGGCTTCGGCTGGGGAGGGCAGGATATAAATAAAAATTATTATTATTATTATTATTATTATTATTATTATTATTATTATGTCTTGATGACTGTTACCTAAATGTGTGTAAGGACTCTTGCCAAAAGCATTTGACTAGAGGAAATTTTTAATGTTCTGTGCATGGATATTCTGTGACAGCCTATCCTTACATGCAAATGATCTGTTATAGCCATGTCCTGAGGAATGTGCAGGCCTATATTAAAATGCCACTGTGGGAACAGACCATTGAGGGAGCAAAGGGTCAGCAGCAGCTGACCTATCAGCAAGTGGCTTAGTATGTGGGTCAGCAAGCTGCCTAGCAAGCAGCCATGCATCAAGTGATGATACCCAAGCCTAGTTTGATGATTCCAGCTTCCAACAGATAGATAAGAGAGGCATGTATCAATCTGTTGCCTGCATGATAACAGCACCCATCTCCCTCACAGTGTGACCCTTTCCAATGACTGGCAGAAGCCCAGGACCACCCTAAGGGAAATCAATGTGATTGCTTTGCACTAAAAGTTTAAAGGATTAATAAAATGAGAGAGAAAGAGAGAGAGATTAAGATTTTTAAAAGGAATTAATGGCTTAACAGGACTCAGGTGTATAAATAGTTTGGGTGATATCTCCCCATTACACTGTAAAGCACCCTGTGATCCACAGATGATGGATGGTTTATAAATTTAATAAATAACCATAATAATTTATCCATTTTCTTTGTACAAATAAACAATATTGATTTGAATAAAAATAGAGGACCACCTCTGCTCCATTTTCTGTTCCATTTCTGATATTCTATTTCTGCATGCCTAGGACTGTAGCTGCATCACAGAGAAGAATATCCCGGGGTCAGTCCTTGACTTCTCCATTTAAAGATCATTTACCAGGTGATGAGAAAGCTCCTGAAGATCCACCACCAGGAGGCAAGAGCAGCTCCTCTCTAAATGAAAGTTATATTTGGTACTTTTTTTTAGTTTAGGAGGTGAAAAGTGAATTGGGGCACATATAGAAATCTACAAAATTATTCATGGATGGTGTGGAGAAAGTGGACAGGGAGAGAGAAAGTGTATGCGAGAGAGAAACGAGGTGTTCTGTTATAATATTAGAACTCAGGGTTATCCAATGAGGTTGAATGGTGGGTGCTTAAGGAAGATTGAGTCAAAGGGAAGTACTTTTTGGAACACCACATAGTTAAACTATGTCATTATATCTCTGGATTCAGAGACAGCATACCTCTGAATATCAGTTATGGGGGAACAGAAGTACTGTATAATGTTGGGAAAATGTTGGTCACATGCCTTGCTTGCAGGCTTTCAATATGCAACTGATTGACCACTGTGGAAAATGGGATAGTGGGGTAGATAAACCTTTGTCCTGATCCAGCAGAGCTTAGAGTAGTCAATAGTCTCAGCTGTATGGACCAGTGATTTGACCTGGTATATAAGGCAGCATTCTATGTTCTCAATTAGAAATATTTTATCAGGGCAATTTTCATGTTATATGGGCACACTGGTTTACCTATGCCTCTGCTAGCTGTCTGTTTCATTGCTTTCCAATATCTGAATAGCTTGCTGTGCAAATATATCTTCTCTGAATTATCCAAGGTCCTGAATTTGTTTAAAAAATATGGCAGAAGTACCAAAGTGTTTTTCACAGCACTATTCATATTTTCTCAACTCGACAACCTATGCTTTTATCAAGTGTGGAAATGTGAATTGTATCCTCTTTCTATGGAGTCATTTATTTGCTATGGCAAAGAGAGGGTTACACACATCCATTCACTTGAGGTAGAATGTCTCAAATACAACTGACAGAAGTAAATTTGGTTTTTATGCAGGATCTAAGCATGTTTAGAATACTAATGTGCCTATAAAGGACATTCTGACTACAACCATTTGTCATTTGCCAGGCTGTGTTTACCGACAGCCTAAGAAGGGCTGAAGGAAGAGAGAATCCTCCAAAAAGCCAATTTCTTTATTCCTCTTGTTTTATCACAGTTTTGTCTCTTGAAATTTAGAAATGGTGTCTGGTAATTTAGAATGTGTCACCTTCCCAAACCCACAGTCCAGCTGGACGTATAATCGATCACCCCACACCAACATAAACACAACACAAAGACTTGTCTTCTGCTTTGCTGAGCAGAGGAGCTGCATAGAAATGCAAAACACAATAAATGCAAATTAATATACATTTCAACAAATGTCAGCACTTTATTATTTTTCACATTTATAATTATCCACATCTTTCTCACTAAAGCAGGGATGGGGAGCCTGTAGTACTTCAGATGTTGTTAGACTCCAGTTCCCATTATATATAGCCTTTGATTATGGTGGCTAGGGATAATGAGAATTGCAGTCCATTGGAGAAACACAGCTTCTTCTTTTTTGTCTTAAAAAGAGGTGGTGAAAAATCACTCTGACCATCACTGCAACCTGAATGTACAGATAATAATAATAATAATTTATTATTTATACCCCGCCCATCTGGCTGAGTTTCCCCAGCCACTCTGGGTGGCTCCCAATCAAGTGTTAAAAACAATACAGCATTAAATATTAACAACTTCCCTAAACAGGGCTGCCAGATATGGAGACTGATCCAAGAGTTGGGAGGTAGATGCCAATTGCCCTGACTGCCACACCTCACTAGATCCAACACAGCTGAGTGTAAACACAGCTGTGCCAGATAGGGGTAATATTCCAATATTTTTTGGGAAAACCATCCAAAAATTTATGCTTTAAATTTATTTTTTTGTTTTTTAAAAAGAAGCATGAAATTATTATTTATTGTCCTTAATTGATCTAAAATCTGCAACATTTTTTGTCCATACTTAGTATTCTCTGTGTGAGAGGTGGATGGAAAATGTTTTAGATAGTTAAATTTTAAAGAAGAAAGCCCTTGTGGTTCTTTTATCATTTTTTGTTCCATTTCCTAGAAGAAGAAGGGTTTGGATTTGATATCCCGCTTTATCACTACCCGAAGGAGTCTCAAAGTGGCTAACATTCCCTTCTTCCCCCACAACAAACACTCTGTGAGGTGAGTGGGGCTGAGAGACTTCAGAGAAGTGTGACCAGCCCAAGGTCACCCAGCAGCTGCATGTGGAGGAGCGGAGATGCGAACCCGGTTCACCAGATTAAGAGTCTACCGTTCTTAACCGCTACACCACACTGGCTCTCTATTCTAAAGCAGACCTGAATGGAACCTAGAGACAAGAGGAAACCTCTTATGTACCTGTTGGGACTCTGTACTAGTTGACCGTTTTAAAGTTCTGATCCAAACTCTCTGTTGTATGTCAAGTGCTGTAAGATCATGTCTGCAGCAGATGGAGAGATGGGACTGCTGGGCTTCTCCATGGGCTCTACAATTCCATCATGCTCCTCTTTCTTCAACTGTCATCTGGGAGCAAGCATTCCATCAGGCTAAATGTTCAGACTGCACCATGATGGTGGTGGCAACTGATTTAAAAATGAAATGTCTCTCAGCCTTTTCTATATTCCAAGAATGGTGTGAATGTACCTTTTGTTACATAGGACCACTCCAATGGCTTTGCTGGGAGTCCAGTTCCCGCTGGCTCCTTCTCTCCTTGAACTATTTTCCATTCCAGCTGGTCATTTTAAGAACTATGTAAATTTAAGAATTGGTGCCTAAGTTTGCTTATTCCCCTCTATCCTCCCATCCCACTTTTCCTTTTGTGCTATGTCTTTTAGAAAGTAAGACTGCAGGCGGGAACTGCCTGGTTTATTGATCTCATAAATGTAATAAAGTAGGTATGAAAACAAGCCACCATGGGGGCTTCTTCAGTGGGGACAAAATGCTTTAAACAAACAAACAAACAAACTATAGGCAGAGCAATGACTGAACAGAGAGTTCAACTTGGCTCTGACATTATAGCCGTTTGATGCCTTTGAGCAGCAATTTGTAGAATGATCTAAAAGAATGTACCAGTATTCACAATGAGCAACAAATGAAAAGAATTCCTTTATGAGTCATTAGATATATCTCACTAATTACTGTACAGAGAAGGTTTTGCCTTGTTTTGGTCTTTTTTGCTACCCTGCTAATAAGTGATACAGTGCCTTTACTCAGAGTAGGTATGCCAGTCGCTAATGCAAGGAACTTCATCCGTTGTTACGTCCTTTGAGGGTATGTGTGTGTGTTTTTGGCAAGGATTGTTAGATAGCAATTGCAGGGTGTGGGGATGTGGCAATTAGAAACATAATCAAGATCATGTAACAAAATCCATCTTAATGGGGGTGTAAACATTGTTGAAGATATTTGCCTTTGTATTCCATTGGATTTAGTCAGAGCAAACTTTCGTGAAACAAGGCATTGTTCTTTAGGTTCTGTATTCCTCTCTAAAAGCAAAAGTACATCATACAGCTCCATAAATATTAAAGGGATGTGTTCTCAGGCTCATGTTTTTACCATGATCTTTTTGCAATGCACTCTTATGTATGTTTGCTCAGAAGTAACTCCCACAGTGTTCAATTATACTTACACCCTAGTACACAATTTAGGATCGAAATTTAGCCATTACCATTTGAATCTATTCATCAGTTACTGGTGATTAGAACTTGTAGTCCTGTTTCCAAGAGATGTAAAAAAATAATCACAAGGTCCACCCAGCCGACCTAAATGAACTCTGAAGAAGTTATAAGGTTCTATTCCAATCAGTGTGAAGACAGATATACAAATTTACAGTGGGTTTTTCACACTTCAAAGTCTATCTTGCTTTGCATCTTACATAATAGCCAAACCTGGATGCTGGTACTGCTAAAGGGAACACAGCCCCAGTAAAGCTCTAGCTATACTTCTGGTTCCCATTTAATGGGAATGGGTTTGTGAGGGGATCCTTATTTTTCAAAATGCAGCTGCCCACCCATGTTCACATTTGGTTAGGAACTGGCTAAAGCCTAACTGAGCCTGTAACCTTTAGGAGTTGAATTGCTTTGAGGGACTGAGGGTAGAAATCAAGCTCATGATTGGCTCAATCATCGCTTTCACAGCCAGCTTCTGCTGGTGGTCTTTTCTTAGCTGAATGGTGGGTGGAGGGAGAGAGAGGAAGAGGAAGAGTGAGGTGATTTAATGTGGCAAGAGTGCTTCTCAGCCACTCTATAAATCTGCCCTAACCTTCAGGTTTGTTGGATTTTTCTTCTCTGCATTAGTTAATTATTTGGGCTGAGCTACACATTACACTTTTGACCAAACTGCGGGAGGCAGTGGAGGACAGAAGTGCCTGGCGTGCTCTGGTCCATGGGGTCATGAAGAGTCGGACACGACTAAACGACTAAACAACAACAACAACAACAACATACATTACACTTGACACAGGTGACTGCCGAAACCAGCATTCCAATGCTGAATTAGTCTTACTGCCTCCTCCATTAATCACAAGATCACTTACTCTATGTCTTGACATTAACACATCATGTATTTCTACACAAGCTAATTATGTGGATCATGGAATGAGACATGCAAGATGGCAACATCAAGATGTGGGATAATTGACCCTAGATGCAATGGGAAGGGAGAAGGAGAACTTGATGTAGGTATTCAGCCCCATCGAGTTCAGCCCTTATTATCAATCTTTCTATAAGTCAAAATGGTTATTTTTTTTTATCATCTCTGCACACTCACTCAAAGTCTGTGCATTCTGGAGGAAAGCCAATCATTTTAGCCTCCTATAATGGTGAGCCAGAGGAGAAAGTGAAAAGCTGGAGGCAATGGAAAGAATGTATGATCACAGGCAGTATGGTTCTGATCCTGCACACCTGGAAAGTTAACAGGAAGATAGCATATTGCTGCCGTGGGCTCCTTCAGAAGGAGGGAAGGGTATGAATTGAATCAATAAAGGAATATTAAAGGAATATGTCCACAGAGGCTCATGTTTTTACCATGATCTTTTTGCAGTGCTGTCTTATGTATGCTTCCTTCAGCCTTTAAACTCTTCCATTTCTGCAGTTGCATTGTAGCCACTGAATGTGTCAGACTCAGAAGCCTCAACTGGATGGCAAGCATCTGTGGCAGAATAAAATTATCGCATGAACATTTGGTGAGGCTTGAGTCTAGAATACATTTCTTTAAGTTCATTTAAAAAATAAATGCCAGAGACCTTGAATCCTGACAACTGTTTTGTTACAAAACATGCTTTCTGGGAAAGGGGAGCATTCATTTAAAAATCACAGACTGAATGAATGAATTTAGCTTATTACGGTCACAGACCAGCATAAAAAACAGACTAAATTCACACTTTTATCTATTTATACGCCCAAGTTGTCACAGCCAAACAGTTGCAGCAAAGTTGGTGGCATTCTCTCCAGTTAATCTCAAACTGTTGAGAAAGACCTCATTTCTCCACTAACCATGACCTAGTTTAACCATAGATGTGTGAACTTGCTCCCTTTCGATCCTCCTCACTTTTATGTAAATTTTGTCAACCCAGCTGCTATGGGATAGCAAATATACTGTACAGTACTCAGAAAGTTCTAGAGTTGGTAGAACCCACAGAAAACAGAACATCATGGCCTTTAACTTGCAGCTTTACAAAATGCTGTGTGAGTCCTAAGAGGTGTGTTGAGGTTTGGTCCTCTTTGTAAACTCCACCAGACTGGGAAAGCTCCAGAAGAATTGTGGAAGAAATTAGCCTTATCCCTAAATTTACATGTTTTAATTTTCACCCAAATAACAAAGCTCTGGATGTGGATCAATAGCTCTTTTGTCTTCCACAGAGCCTGCAATTGCTCATTTTTACTCTCAGGTTGGCCTGAACTGAAATATCTATTGTCCATGACATCACCATGAATGAAAGCTGGACCTGGTCTGCTTCATAGGAACTTGGTTGGATGAGGTAGAGAGAAAGGAGAGTTCTGTTTGGTCTCAATGACTTTAAGCCAAATATTCTGCTCAGGAATGACCAAAAGTCAGTGGGCGAGGTGTGGTAGTCCATAAAGAAACCAGTCTGATACAGCACATTCTGTGTATGTATACCTTGTGTTGAAGATTACAGCAGAATAGAGCTGTTAGGTGGTGTGCTGACCTCCCCACATCAAGTATTTTACCTGAGCTGAAAAAGGTGATTTCAGATTCGATCTTAATAACCCTCAGATTTACAGTTCCTGGGATTTCAGGCTTTTTCACAGTGAAATAATCAGATAATTCATGGGAGATATGGATCTATATGAACCTATTGCTGAGCCAGCCCATCTGACAGATAATATCCAGGATGTGGTGTTTTGTACTGGACAAGATGGAGATGACTGATTGGTCAGGCAGCCTCTGATGACTCCTTTGTCATTGACAAATAACTACAGGATAGGGTTTGAAAGATCTGTCCATTCCAGTTCTTCCCGTTTCTCATTTTCCCCATCTTAAATTCAGTTATCCATGTTTCCACGGTAGTTTGTGAATAGTTTTAAAAGGGAAAAGACTCATGAAAATTCTTCAACATTTTAGTGTGAATTTTTCTAGTAAACACATCTTTGGGTGCAGTTCTGAGTAATTTACACATTTTTTTCAAGCAATTTCCCCTAATGCAATGCATTTCTGTATGTTATTTTCACAAATATATTAATTATATATACCCTTTCCCCTAATATATGCATTGTTGCAAATATTGGATGGTCAGAGAAGTGCATTGCAAAATTCACATTAGTGCAGTAATGGAATGGAAGCTCAATTTAGCCAAGATAAAGGTTATAATGGTGTTAAGGACAGTTCTGGGGTTAACATTCAATCCTGCAACTTGGTGGTACTCCTGGACTCAGCACTCATATATATGTAGCCAGAAGTCTCTTTTACTGATTTTCATGCTGTACCAGGGCTGGTGCTGAAGGCAGGCTTGAAATCAGCTGATTCATAAAGCAGTAGCACATATTTTGTTAGGTTTATAAAGGTCATATAAAACTGATCCTTTTTAAACTTATTTTTTTTTAAAAAAAATGCAAAGTTCAAATCATTAAACCCAAAATGGCTTGAGTCTCATAGGGTTCGCTTCTATCATACATCAAGCCATCTTATGGGTTGGGCTCCACTGGAAAGAATTTACTTCAGGAGTCACCGTCTATTTGAGGTAAAATTGACAACCACTAGAAATAGATTATTTTCCACTAGTGGTATTCAGACTTTGGAAAGGAGGGAAGGATCATAACTCAGTAACAGGAAACATACTTTGCAAGCAAAAGATTATAGGTTCAATCCCTGGCCTCCCCCAGAGCATTTGGAGAATGTGTGTTTGATACCCAAGAACACAGCTGCCAGTCAGCATAGAAAATGCAAAACGAGATGGGACACCCTCAAAAAAATGATATAAATATAAATATCAATTGCTCTTCTTTTTGTGTATGACATGGGGTGATTTCTATGAACTTGCCTTTCAATCTACAGCCCGCCATCCTGTGCCATAGACTACACCATTCCCAATGGTTCTCCAATCCATGGGGGCAGACATTCATGGGCTGCAGAAGCAATGGGGAGGTGGTGAAACCCTGCTACTTTCACAAAAATATAGTTAGAATCCAAGCAATACAACAACAACACACACACACACACACAGAGAGAGAGAGAGAGAGAGAGATCATTGCCCTCCTTAATCCACTAACTCAGGTACGCAGGTGATGCTGTGGTCTAAACCACAGAGCCTAGGGCTTGCCGATCAGAAGGTCAGTGGTTCGAATCCCCACCAAGGGGTGAGCTCCCGTTGCTCGGTCCCTGCTCCTGCCAACCTAGCAGTTCGAAAGCACTTCAAAGTGCAAGTAGATAAATAGGTACCACTCTGGCAGGAAGGTAAACGGCAGCTTAGTCATGCTGGCCACATGACCCGAAAGCTGTACACCGGCTCCCTTGGCCAATAAAGCAAGATGAGCGCCGCAATCCCAGAGTCGTCCGCAACTGGACCTAACAGTCAGGGGTCCCTTTACCTTTAATTCATTATCTAATATTTAAAAGATTACACTTCGCTAATATTAATTGTACTACTAAGATGCAAGAGGAATCTTCTCACATACATTCCTCACATGAAATATAGCCACATAAAATGTCATTGTTTTATTGAGAGCTGATTAAAATCAGCATTAAATCATTCATTCATGTAAAAGTGCCGCTCAGTGTTAGTCAAATTTGCACAGGAATGGAGAGACACAGAACAAAAATGATTACCGGTATTTTATTTTTTTAAGCAGTTTTCTCCACATACCTTTTGTAACCCTGTTAAATATTTCTGCTAATCTGACACAAATTATTTGCAAACATCATATTAGCAGTTTATAATTATGGTTATAAAGCATGTCAATTTAAAAATCCCTATAGTAAATAAATGCTGTTAAAATGTCTCAAGTAGGTTACTAGCCTTAGTGTTTATTCAAATAAGGCTTTTTAATGTGGATGATTTTGCAAAAACTGCTTCCTGTCAAATTCATTGCTTCCTAAGGGAGACAACTGGGATCCGATAGCATGTCGCTGTAGCCATGTCCCCCTGATGATGTCACTATAGCCTTGCTACCTATGGTGTTCCTATAAATGTACTGGGGAAGACTACTGCTGCTTAAAAAGAATAATGGGTTTTGCAGTTTCTGTTTGATGTGGCTGAATGAGAAGTCATCACATATAGCACAAAGAAAGGCCATACTCTTAACACAAATGTTAATAACACTTAAGCCCATTAAAATCAACAAGGGTAAGCATACTTAATCTGTGCTGAAATACTGTATGACCAGCAGCTCAAATCACTAAGTAGGTCACTTCACTCTCTAATATTCTAGCAGTGTGGATGGAGACTTGGGTGAAAACCAGTCATCCTAATTCAAAGACCTTAAGCACACTTAAGGTAAAGGTAAAGGGACGCCTGACCATTAAGTCCAGTCATGGATGACACTGGGGTTGCGGTGCTCATCTCGCTTTACTGGCCGAGGGAGCCAGCGTTTGTCCGCAGACAGCCTCTGGGTCATGTGACCAGCATGACTAAGCTGCTTCTGGCGAACCAGAGCAGTGCATGGAAACACCATTTATCTACTTGCACTTTGACATGCTTTTGAACTGCTAGGTTGGCAGGAGCAAGGACCAAGCAATGGGAGCTCACCCCTTTGTGGGGATTTGAACCTCCAACCTTCTGATCGTCAAGCCCTAGGCTCTGTGGTTTAGACCACAGCGCCACCCACGTCCCTTACCTGCACACTTACTTGCAGGTAATTTAATTGTATTACCATGGGAAGTGAGACTTGGTGAGCTGCCAAAAAGTGTGGAGAGAAGCCTGAAGCATATTATTATTATTATTATTCAGATGCAAGATCCGCTCGTGTTCATGGATAGTTCCACCCAGTGCTATTGTTCTATAAAAAGAGGTGCCAGAACTCACAATGAATGCCACACTTGTAATGGCAATGGCACCCACCTGAAAAGGTTCTGGAACTGAGTTCCGGCTGAAAAGAAGCCCTGGTTCCACCACTCTATTAGCTCCCCTGGTGTGGCCTAGTGATAGATGCTTATGGATCAGGCTGGATCTGTGTCTGGACAACAGCCAAATTCCATAGTTTTCTGTTAACGCTCTTCTGACCCTTTGCAAATCCCTGCACTCCTGTCTTTATTACCTATTCCCAGACTTTCTGTCTGCCTGCTTGTCTTCCTGAGTCCCTCTGGTAGATCAATCCAGTGTCTCCCACCAACTTGCAGTCTCATCCTGCTCACTGCTATTCCCTGGCAATGTTAATGTCCAAGAAAATCCAAGTCAGATTGCAGTTTTACATCATTATCTTGACCATATTGGCTTCGGTTAAGCTTTCTTTCCAAGTACTTGTTCTAAAGATTGCAGGCTTTGTTGGATTTTGTTTCCATTTCCTTCATATCCTTACAGATAAGAATGAATAAATATAAAACCACAGCTTCCACATCATGGCTGTGCTCAAAAGTATGCTCTCCACTTTCCTTTAGACTTACACAGTTTGTCTCTTTTTCATTCTTATTTTTATTATATATTATTAAAGAATGAGCTTTATTTGTGATAATGGTAATTGTCGAAATGCTCTCTTAGCAAGCTACCAGCTTTTCATAAATATTAAATTCTTCCTTTCTGTAGCTGAGTTCTAAGACTATGAAAATTTGGTAATTTTAGAGGATGAATTATTTATCCATTTTATAATTTGCATAAAGAGAAATGCTGTTTGCTCATTAAATTTAGAACGACAAGGATGGGAGGGCCAGTTGGCTATTTCATCTTCATAACCAATTGCATTATTATTATTATTATTATTATTATTATTATTATTAGAACAAAATGAGAGTAAATGTACAGTATGGAGGATGCTCTAATATTGTTGGAAAACTGATTCACCCCTTTGCCAGTCTGCACTCACATAGGTGTCAGCCAAGTTAAAGCTATCATCTTTCCTTATTTTTGTCTCTCTGCACAGGATTATTAACATTTCAAATTAGCATTAATTTTCTTCCAAATATGTCTCTTTTCTGTTTTCTTTCGGTTGCTAGCAACTCATCCGTCATATCGCTAAAACCCACAGTAGCACAAGAAGAAAAATAAGCTCCATAAACCATGTTATTGATGAGTCGTTGCTTTCCATCAGCATAATACCCACCCGCATCTCTGAAATAGAGATTTCCAAGCCATCCTCATTGATGTTTCAATTCTTTGACGTTTCAATAAGGCTCCCATCAAGACTACATTATGCCTATTATTTCTTCATCACTACCACACAGTAATAGCTCTCGTTTTCTTCTCCATTATATATGCAGGCACAATGAATGCAATGTTTTCTTACAGCCCAATCCTATTAAGTGTTAAGGTTGGATCACATGAAATACTTTTCAGTTAGCTGATGATAATAATAATAATAATAATAATAATAAACCACATTGTGATACTGAAGCAGCAGATACACTGGCACCAATACTCGGGATCAAAAATGGTAAGTTTTAATCTTAGGAAAGCAGTGTTTATTGGAAAAAGCATTGAATGTGTATATTCTAATTTCTTAATAGAAGCCACAGGGATGATAGGGAGATCTGAGTAGGATCTGGATGATGGTGCTTGGAGAGGATTTTTAAACCCCTTTCCCTGTGTAGTTCAGTCCCACCAAATACCTCTCTGAAATCACTCACTGCTGCCAAGGGGAGCTTGAGATGAAAAGTGGGAAGACTTCAGTCCTATACTTCATTATCTGGTGTAGGAGATATCAAACAGCATGTAGCTGTAGCTTAGCCACATGAACAGAGAAAGGGAAGGTGGATTGCTGTTTCCTAATGAGAAGCCAAATGCACAGAAATTATAGCTTGCCGTTAGGCTAGAGTGAATGTAAGAAAGAGGAACCCGTCCATAATATATTCCATGAGGGCACATGGATGTGCCACATGGAAGCATGGAAGAAAGTGCTCAGAACAAGCAACTAGGGATATGTAGCACATATCTGGCATCTGGGGTGTAGGCTAAGGGGGAAGCTGAGAGAACCATTTGGGTACTGGAATGCCCATCAATATCTTTTATGGAACCCCAGTGATTTAAGTACTGTATTAGTAGGGATAGAAAGGTAAAATGAGTGTGAGTTGTTTGGCCTGCACACTGGTGGATTGATTTAAGGATTAATCCTTTTAAATACTTGGTTGGGTTGATGTGTTTAATGATGCATTGGACTCACCACTGCTACCTAACCTCTACTAATTCAGAACACAAGAAATGCCTCTTTTCTTGTGTCCTCTTTAGATGTGGGAAGTCTATATGGGGCAGGGTCTCTCTGTGTGTGTTCTTACTAAAGCTTTTGTCAAATGTTAAGCTCATTTCATCTCGGCTGCACTAATGTGAGGCCAGCGGATGGACAAAGCCCCAAGAATCAGGGAAGAGAAGTTGATAATGAGGTTGGCAGGAGACCTCCAGACCTAGTCCTGGTAGCCAACTAAAAATCTTGATCAAATCTAATTTCTATGCTGGAAGTAAATTTAAGTGAACTTAATATGACTTGTATGCATGCATAGGATTGCGAAGCAAGGAAGGCTATCACGGTTAACAAGCTCACCCATTACATTACTTGTACAGTGATACCTCAGGTTACATACGCTTCAGGTTACAGACTCCGCTAACCCAGAAATATTACCTCGGGTTAAGAACTTTGCTTCAGGATGAGAAAAGATATCGTGCTCTGGCGGCACGGCAGCAGCAGAAGGCCCCATTAGCTAAAGTGGTGCTTCAGGTTAAGAACAGTTTCAGGTTAAGTACAGACCTCCGGAATAAATTAAGTACTTAACCTGAGGTACCATTGTATTAATGAAGAAGTCCTCTTCAAGCAAGGATAGTGTGCAGGTCATATCTGCTCATACGTTGAAATAAATGTGCAGTCTACACCTTGAAGGCCTTTGGTGACTGAAATGGCACATTAAATATTGGCATATGCAAACATTATTGTTTTGAAAAAGGAAAAAGAAACAGTTTTTTTGCAGGTTGGGTTTTATAAGGAGTGGAAACAAAAATCCTGAGATCTCTCCTTACAACCCCGTCTGGCTACTGTTTGTTTATAAATGAAAACCTGGAGGAAAATTAAATTACACTTAAATTTATACTTCACTATATTTTTTATATTATTGCAGACCACTGTTTGTTCGTTATATGAACCTCAATGCTATATCTCAATGAATACCTCCATGGGTATTGGAGGCACTGTACTACATTGGTTCTGTACTTGCTTGTAGGGTTCATAGAGTAACATTGGGGGTGGGTGCTCCTAGACCTGCTGGCACTTGTGCTATTGTGTTCGGCAGGGAATGTCTGAAACCTTAGACCAATGGCCAGACTCAGTATAAGGCAGCTTCTTATGTTCCCAACTGGGGAAGAGCAAATTGCTTTCAGCACAAGAGTATGGTTTCCTAATTTCCATAAACACGTATTAAACATTTTCTTCACAGTGGGGAAAAACGATGAACACTAAAGATAAAACAGCAAATCCCCTTTGCTCTGAGCAGTGGGTGCATGGCAAATTTGCAAGAACAGAAGCTTTAGGCCTGCTGAAGAAAAGGAGTCATGGTGATAAACATTTTCGGTGAAAAGATTTCATACAATGAACATCTGAAAAGAGTAAACCCTTCCTTTTAACGTCAGACTAGATTAAGGGTTTTGATGTGGGATGCATCTACCTACAAGCTATCATTTGAGTGATGCAAAGGCCACCTCAAACTCTTACAAATATATAGGAGCACAAGAAGAGGAGCAGATATGTAATTTTTCTGTTCAGGTGTTCAGGTATTTAGAGATCTTGCTAGACTGTCTTATAATTTTGCACAGGGAACTGCTACTTTTCAAGGCACTTTTAAAAAGACCCAATAAGGGTAAAAAGCAGGTATGTGGCAGTATAATAATAATAATAATATGCTGAAACCCATAATTAGAAGACATAATGAATTTTTGTTAGGCACAATTTTTGCTGCATTTTGGCTGTTTTGTGAAATTGTGTGTGTGTGTGTGTGTGTGTGTGTGTGTGTGTGAATTTCTATACCTGTTCAAAGCAATTAACATCCATCCATCTTTCTATTAGATTCTTATACCACCCTCATACCACATACAATTATAGGTGCAGTTAAAGTAAAACCTGCTGGTGCTTGGGCAAAAAGATGAGCCCAGCAAATCACGAATCACATACAGAACATAGTGAAATCAGGGCACCGCATCATCAATCAGATATAATTAAATGAGAGGTGAACCAAGGGTCCATCTTTCAGTCAGGGGGACTGAATGGGATTGATGCCTCCTGTCTCAGCCTGCTGCATCAATGCAGTGATTTCATTGTTTGTAAAAGAAAGACTTTCATGGTGATCCAATCCTAATCACATGTAAGCCTTACTTAGGTATCCCAGCTAGTCAACCACCATCAACTTGACTGTGTTGTGCCACATTGTTTTTCTATTCTAGCAACAAATCCAGGTCAGCAACTGCTAAGAACAAGTGTCATCTTGAAAGTCATTCAGGTTTGTGCTTGTAACAAAAATAATGACTGTCTCCCAAAGTGCACAGTTGAAGTAGAGATACCATAATGAGGAAGAAAAATACAAAGTGAAACCGAAAGAAAAATGAGGAAACTAATGAGCCCTATCTTGGATCTTGTTGGTTACCAAACCACTATCTGGTTCAGTTAACATTGAAACAAAGGTGAGTGTTAAAAGGACATTTAAAAGAGAAACAGACATTTTGGAAATGGTTCTCTATTACATGCTCAGTCATCAGTTATTGCCTTTGGAAGATTGGAAAATGGGCCAATCTGTCTTTCTAAGCAGCCCACTGAAACAAAACAAAACCAAACAAAAATACCCCTTGAAACATTCCAGAAAATTGCAGAATATTTACAAAGGAAATTGTCAGTTGGTTGACAAGAGAAGTAAAGTGGTTGTCATCTGCTGTGGAAGCTCCAAATGTCAATGCGGGAAACATCAGAAAACTGTCCCTCTGCTACATCTTATATTTAACAAAGTAATAAGGGAAGAAGAAGGAGAAAAAAACCAAACATTTTAGAGGAATATTAAATGGGAAGCTACAAGGAAGATAATAAAAAAGAATTGTTAGGGACATAGAAGAAGTGTTAGTCACAGATATCATTTAGGTTTGAATGCTTGAGACAGGATTTGCATTATTAAAGGTGGCACTGAATCATTTTTATGACTAAACACTTCCCTGGATTTCTGGTAAGCCTTTAAATTATTTTCTTTGGCATGTTAACAAGCAATAGATTGTGAAGCAATCCTCCGGATGTGGCATCGCGGTCAGTCGAGTTGATCTTTTGTTTCTTCTTTCCCTCAGGATGTGGGATCTTTTGATTGCCTGAGGAAATAATTTGAATGGCACATTACAGTTTGAACATGGAATGTACCTAATCTACACCCCCTCTTTCTGCAAACAGCCAAGAGCTCAGAACTCCCCTCTCCATGCATATCAGGATTATCTACAGTTAAAGATTACTTTCTGCAGCATTCAGAGTACAAACAGAAGAAAGGCTATTATCTTTTTTCCCCTTCTCCCCCAGGCCTAATTAGCCAATTAAATCGGACCCTGGTAAAAGCTGGATAAATACTTCCTGATTGTATCCCATTTAACTTGCTTGTTTCAGAAATATGCAGATCTCCGGATGACAGGTTATGCAGCAAAGGCTATTCTAACAGCTTCCTTTTCTGTCATTCTGTTTCTGTGTGTACATATTGTAACTGTTAACCTGAGGGCGGGCACCATACGTTAGGCTCTGTAACAGATAGGAATGAATATGAAATGTGTACACCTGGCAGCAGAGAGAGCAATCTATAACCAAAGTGCAGAAACACAGGAGTTCTAAAACAGAAAGAACTGCAGAGACAGTAAGAGCTTCTTCATCGTAATTGGAGCATTTTCATTTCCCTTGAAGAATTCCTGCTACATTACATGTACTCTGTGGCTAATGAAGCAAATAAATATGTCATGGTACCCAATGGAACTGCACCAGTGCCACAGGTTGCGGAAGAGGAGAGCTAAAAAGTAAACCGTCAAACATCAGGCTTCAGAGAAGGGCACAGCAAGACAAAGGACCCAGTTATACAGCTGCAAATAAAATGTTTTAAGTGAAATATACAAATGTGACACGAGAGGCCGATGGTGAGGTATGCCAAATTCAAGGTATTTTTCAAAACTTTTTTTTAAAAAGCATTTCCCCAACTTTTTTATACGTGTGTAGATTCTACCAAAGGGAAAGCCAACAGATTCAATGAGTGGGTTTCAAACACAGACAAGGAGCTTTAACCTGGACTTTTTTATCAGGCTATCCCTAGCATCCAATTGCTGAATCCTTGCTAAGATGCTTGAGTCAGATGCTTGAGCTGGGAAGCTCAAGGAGCCAAAAGAACTATTCCTTGCACTTAACTGCATCAGAAAGCCAGCGTGCTCATGGCAGCCTTCACTAACAAGATGTCCTTTGAAAAAAATTGGACTACACCTCCCATAATGCCCAGCTCTAATGGCCTTATTGGCTGGTGTTGATGGGAACTGTAATCCAAATCATCTAGAAGTTACTAGGGTTGGGAAGGTTTGGTTAGAGTTTGGGACTTGGACTGGAGAAAGTTGGCTTCTCATCGTGGTTCACCTCATGGGGAGATCTCTGCCTAACCTCTAAGGGTGAATTTTGGAACAGACTGAGACACAACTGTATATCCCTAGGTACCTTGCAGTATTTTTGGCAGGATGGAATGGAGGTAACCCATGTATGCCACTTCTTGGAAGAAGGGTGGGATATAAAGGTGAATAATAATAATATAGATCTCATGATGTATAATTTGGGAAATGGTAAACTGCCTTAAGTCAGATAATTGGTCAATCTAGCTCCGTAGTGACTCTGTTTCTAGTATCTCTTTCTGGAGATACTAGGAACTGAACCCCTGGCATAGTTGGTAGTTCACTAGGCTTGTGTGTTCTTTTTAAAGGAAGGCAACAGTGTATTGGGAAGTTCTCCTGGAAATGCAAATATTGCAATTTTATTCCCTGTGCAGATGTTGTGTCTTTTAATCAGAAATCTAGGTAAAATAACTGGACAAGAGGGTATTGTAGGCAACTGATAGCATCCTTGGTAAAGTGATTCTGTACCTGAAGTAGAAGTAAGTGGCTTGGTTAGGGATTAAAATTATTTTTGTTTTGTTCTCATTACATCTATTGGAGAAAACATGGCTATCCCTAAAATCCAAGGAGCAGTTCTAGTAAAATCCTTGATTTCTAAGTTGATATGGTCTCATTGATTTTAGCTGGCTTAAACCCAAGTACTCTGGCTTAATTGATCTGTGTGAATTCTGTTAGAAAAATATTGAATCGACGCTTGGCAGACTGAGACATAAAAAAAAAGTACAGCAATATATGACCTCATTTAAAGAGCGTTACAGAAATTGAAGAGTAAGGAGCTAAAACACCATTTTAGAGAAAAGGGATATGAACTGATCAATTTGTGGGGGTGGGGAATGGGGAGGGAGAATTTAGTTTAACAGCTGTATTCAAGCAGGAAGGAAAAAATTATTGAACACCATATCCATAGACAATTTCTTGAGGAGTGGTTTCATGCAGGGACCACGCCATCTCACAAGGAGGCACTTTATTCATGCAGAAATTCACTGATTCTCTCCCACACTCATCCCTGGATATGCATACCCTGCTCATGGATATAGAGTGTGGGTGGGGAAAATTTTCCAACCGAACTTTCTGCCATTTTTACAATGCAACAATTAAAACTACAAAGACAGGAATTAATTTGAAACAGGATTCGCCAAAGCTTACCTGTTCTGAATACCAGGGTTCAGTGAAAATAAACAGTACCTCTAACCATCTGCACCTCAACACTGAGTAACCATAACCTTGCCTTATACATCTGGGATTTAGGACAGGTCTTCTTCTTTTGTCACAAGGCTATCGTTTCAGGGATTGTTCAAACTAGAATACTAGAAATCAGGAGATAGATCCCACCCCCTTATGCTTACAACCCACTCTTCAATCCAGACATTAGCAATAGATGTTCTAAAGGAATTTAATGCCTCTGCCAGCACATTTTAGACCAAACCACTTGGATTTTTACAAAACATTTTGGCATATAAATTAAATATGTATTAATTAACATTTTGATATAAAAACTACACCAGGGTGGGGAGCCTGTGGCCCTCCAGATGTTTTGGGACTCCAGTTTCCATAATCCCAGACCATTAGCCAGACTTTCTGGAGCTGATGTAGGGCTGGAGGAGAAATTTTTTCTGTTCACATTTAGCTGGGGCAGCCCAGAAAGATGGGCAGCATATAGATAATAAATTAACGTTGTTGTTGTTGCTGCTGCCATTATTATTATTACTATTATTATTAGGCTTTGAACCAGTCTTCCTGATTTGAAACTTAGTATCTTAGTCCCCATGCTACACTAGCTACACAGTCAATTTAAGGGTTCTTTCTAAATGCAGATACAGTAGTACCTCAGGTTACATACACTTCAGGTTACATACGCTTCAGGTTACAGACTCCGCTAACCCAGAAATAGTGCTTCAGGTTAAGAACTTTGCTTCAGGATGAGAACAGAAATCGTGCTCCGGCGGCACGGCAGCAGCAGGAGGCCCCATTAGCTAAAGTGGTGCTTCAGGTTAAGAACAGTTTCAGGTTAAGTACGGACCTCCGGAACGAATTAAGTACTTAACCTGGGGTACCACTGTATATGAGGAACTGAGGAGGAACCAAGGAGAGTTTACCTACGTCTTTCCAAATTTCCCAGCGTTTCACATCTTCTTTCAAGTCACTCAACAAACTTTTGAAGTGGAAAGAAATCAACAAGCCAGCATCTGTCAAACGAGTGTGCTACTCATCTAAATAATCAGTGCATTGAAATGGTAGATAATCTCCTCTGTATACAGTACCTGACTTAATGGCAGATGTAGACTTAAATGCTTTTGTGATCATGAAGCATCTGCTTAGAGAGCAAAGTGGACAATATTTTCTGAAGGTTGCCTAAATCTTTGTATTACGTAAACCCTAGACATATGCCAGATTGGCACTCAAGGGCAGGAAATTATGTGGTTAAAATATTTATACAATGCCAATTTAGGTTGTGCTGTGTCTAGAAATGTTCAGAAGTGGAGTTGCTTCCTAATGGCTCCTGCACTCCAAAGTGAAAACGAAGGAAAGTGAGGTGTTTGATACCAGTCAGGTATCAGGGGAAAACAAACAAAACAAAACAAATATGGCCTGTCTGTCAGGTAAGTTGTCTGTTATGGGCTGTTTTGCAATTTGCAGAAGGAGACAGATGCCTGCATTTCCACAGTGTGTCGACCAGAATCTTTTTTCTCTAACACACTGGAAGAAGTGATGCATTTATGCAGACATCTGGGTTTGTGGGGAGGGGGAAGAGCCAGAGAGCCTTGCCCAAAAGCAGTTGATGTGTCAAAACAGTCAAGCATTACCAACACATCCCCTTAGGCCCTCAGGATGAGGATGAAGGATGAGGAGAGAGAGCATGCAGGTTTAAAACCTCCACATATAATTAACACTTCCAACCTCTGGGGAAAGTGTTTGCTTCTCCTGAAAAATTATGAAGAAATTTCATACTGATGTTTTTTATGCTGCTTTTTGGCCCTCCTTATAGGACAAGGTGCCTGGCGTGCTCTGGTCCATGGGGTCATGAAGAGTCGTACACGACTAAACGACTAAACAACAACAATAGGACAAAGTAGAATTGTAGAACTCTGGGAATGGTGAGCACAGTCCTTTATATCCCAAATCCATGATTTGTGATACTTTTGTTAAAACTAACCAATATATTAGAAGTTAGCAAGCAGACTTTTAAGGCCTCCAGCATTCTTCACCAGGCTGGACATTGTGCAAATCAGATGGCGCAGGTGGACTCAGGAGTGACTTGATGCTCAATCCATGAAAGCCTAATTCAGGCATTTGGAACCCATGATAAATCTCCATGTGCATGTTCAACATATAAAATGCAGCAGTTACACAGATGTGTCTCCAGCCTCAAGCAAAACACACCAAGAAAGAGCACCATAGATGCTGATTCTCCTTCCTTGCCAGAAAGAACACTCAGCTCCAACTGCCCTCTTGCCCTGGAACTGCAGAAGCGAGAGGAGAGGACACTCTGCCCCCATCCATCTACCAACAAGACAAGAGCCTCCAACTGCTCTTCAAGTATAAACACTCTACCAAAGAGAAGATCAGCAGAATACAAAAATATAGCATGCAGCTCATTCCACCAACATTCATGCTTGTGGAGAAACTGTCAATTGCCATAAGGGCTCCTTATAATTTTTGTTTCTTAGAGAACAGTTTAAAGATACAAAGTTTCTCTTCTCCCCATTTTTGATTGCGGCAACCCCAAATCGAAAATAATGTGCATTGACTATAAGGAAGACTGTGGAGGGTGTCTGGGGACAACTTTCCATTTATTTTGCTTCAGTGATTTACTGAATGCAGAAGAGAGAGTGAGTTTATATGGAGGGGCTGAGAAGGAAGTCTTTCATAACTGCTATAAATGAAAATTTTGTGAGGATAGAAAAGGATCTTCTTTTTAATCATTGGGTCTGTCTCGTGGAGAGAGAGAGAAAAAACCCTGACAGTTATGTGATGTATGTATGAGCACCATTACCTTTTACTGTAATATACACATGTCAAGACATCTCATATATAGCTCTTCTCTCTGGTGGATTAGCTGATGGAAGTGGTTCTTTAACTCACTGGTTAGGGACATGTGGTTTTTTTGAATCTGAGCAGCGCAAGTTGAGATTTCTGTGTTAGAGGGCTATGCAGTTGCCTGGTGACTGGAGTGTGAAATAAGGTTCTGCCAGCTCCTGCTTTCAAGTACCTATTTTTCCTCTGCAGAACTGTCATGATTAACTGGCAACCCATTTGTTATGTATCTATCTGTAAATGCGAGCAGAGGGCTACTGAAACTTTTTACTTTTCTAAAGTGTAAAAATAACTTCTCTAGAAGCAGGTACTTAATACACGCCATTTCCTCCAAAGCGGGGGATATTTTAACACTATATCAAAATGGGAAGCCCACCAATATGGACAGGGATTAGCTGAACATGGAGATAAACTGCACCCACCCACATCCACATACTAAAGTACTCATCTATCTTTTGATGCCTCTTTGAAGCCATTCTGTCTTTCTCATTGGAAAGGCATGGATTGGATCTGTCAGACTTGGACAATCCAAACATGTTAGCCTTGTAAAGCCACTGAGCCAGAAATGAATGAAATGGAAAGGAAGCTATTGGTAGGCTTTGTTTGGTAGAGCCAAACCAATCAATCTCATGCTCCTTAAAATTCATGGACGATGAGGAATGGAAACCTTAGGAAACCCAAGTTCTCATCAGTATCATCATACTTGAATTCCATGGACTGAGGCTTTCCTGAACTTGCCCTTATGTTGTCCTTGTGGTATCAGATAATATAGCTGGATAACTGCTAATGGCCCAGTAGAACCTCCTTATCACTGCCCTCTCCATGGGAACACAGGAAGTTGTGTTATACTGAGTCTGATCATTGGTCTATCTGGCTCTGTATTGTCTAGAATAAGTGTCAGTCATTCTCCAGGATTTGAGACAGAGGACATTCCCAACACTCCTAATTATGGCTGAACCCTGACTCCTCCCTACTACTGCCATTGCTGCTTCAACAGCTACCTGGGGAGTGAGGGAATAGATCAGTGGGGTCCGGAAGTGTTTTTTCTTCCCTAGTTCAGACTGAAATCTGAACCAGAGAACTTTGGTATGAGGGTATGCTGGTTGGCAATACTAACATGCTTTGTGACATGAGCATGCCTACTGCATATTAAGTTTGATAATATCACCACTATTGGCAACACAGAAGCTAAAGATTTCTCTCTGTGTTTGTATCTATATACAGTGGCACCTCGGGTTAAGAACTTAATTCATTCTGGAGGTCCGTTCTTAACCTGAAACTGTTCTTAACCTGAGGTACAACTTTAGCTAATGGGACCTCCCGCTGCTGCCGCGCCACTGCCGTGCGATTTCTGTTCTCATCCTGAAGCAAAGTTCTTAACCCGAGGTACTATTTCTGGGTTAGTGGAGTCTGTAACCTGAAGCGTCTGTAACCCAGGGTACCACTGTATGTTTATCTATCTATCTATCTATCTCTACACACAGTTGCCTTGCAATCTCTTGTAGATAAATGGCTGTAATAACAACTTTCTTCTTAACCTGCTTAAAGTCCCTGGGAAAATATGTCCCAAGGTTTAAATTATGTTTACATCCTGGCATTGTCTGCTACGAAAGAATCTTCTGAAGATGTATCGGGTTACTGGAGAATATTTCCATTTGATAACATCCATAGTATAGTTCAAAGTCAAGGTCAAATGCAAAGGAACTGCATGGAGAAATCTGTTCAATGAGACACGCCGAAGAGGAAGGCGAACAAAGCAGGCGAGCGTGTATCTTCTTGTTAATTAAGATTTGCTCAGCTAGTGTTTATACTTCAGTAATGACAGAACAGTTCTCTTTATTATAAGTTGGATGGCTCTCAGGGTTGTTGAAAGGTTTACAAAATGGGTTGGTATTAGTGTGGTTCATGCAAAATAAACAGAGGAACTATCAGTTCCAGATGTCCCCCCATGCTTTGAGAAATCAAGTTGCTTGCCAAAGCTTTACTGGCTCTGCACCTTCATTTAGTGAATCTTGAATGACATAAACAAGATTGTTTTCTCCCTAAAGGGAAAGCCATATGCTCATAGATCTAGCAAAGCCCTCCAACCCAATGGATGCAGACAGTGCAGTTGTCTTATGGCTTCTCTTCTAGCAAGTCTTTGCTGTCAGTTTGTTCAAACACTCATTCATTACTAACTTGTTTTCTGTAAACACACATGCACACAAAAATTGTTTCTTGGTTGGGAAAGCCTCTCTCGTTTTCCTTGCTAATTCTGTTTCTTCTCTCCGTGTTGGAGCAATTGAATAGCAAAATCATTTGCCAAACTGTCAGTAGGAGATGTTTTTTTTTTCTTTTTGCAAAAGGAAAAATGGGAATTGCATTACCTTTGTTGCATTGTTAAAGAGTATTCTCCATGTGGAGATTTAAACTCAGAAAGTTAAAGTAAAGGGGAAGCAGTGGTCTCCTATCCTGAATACAGGCATGCTCCAAATCCAAATTACACAGAGTGGCGTCATTGAAGAAAGTTTCCCAAATGTACTGGGGTTGGAATTTTTCTCCCTCTTGTCTTATCCCCACAATCTCCTTGTGCATGTGTACACATATACAATTACACAGTGCTGAAAGCTCTGCTCCACTTGTTGCATGCAGTTTTCCTCTACTGTTCAGCCATATGCCAGTAAGCTAACCATTTCATTTCTTTAAGACACATACCTGCTTAATTAGAATGTAGAAACCCGCAATGGGTCTTGTTGGAGAAGACTGCAGCTTCAAACATGCAGGAACATTTATAGCTGGGTTAGCAAATGTTGAAGAAAGTAGAATGGAAACTGCAAATGGCAGCAGTAATGAAGCATCTAAGTCATAACCTGATCTGCTAACAGAAAAGCAAAAATGATGTTATACTTTGAAGGAAAAATTGTCCGATTGTACACTAGATGATATCTTAGTATCTATGCAGATGTTTTCAGATGTGTGTGGCTTGCTCTTTGCTCTGGTGGAATTTTACATAGTTAATTAAGTTATCATTCTATTATTCCACACCTTTTCATTTCAATGCCAAGGCCATTCATTTCAATGCAGAAGGGAAAAATACAGGCATCAACTATGTATCATTTATGGACAGAAAACAAGTGACTATCAATGCATTTGTAGGATGGATATTTTGTTACGGACATAAGCAAATATTTCTGCTCTTGTTCCCATTTCCTGTCTGAGCACTCTGACATTCTTAGTCAAGGCAGATAGACATGGCTTGGTCCAGCATGCCAAATGGAAAGGACCATAGGCCAGATGTTCCCCATCACTGATGTAAGAGGAGATGGCACTTTGCCGATGTTCCCATCAAATTTGGATGTGTCCATGTCAGTTCCTCAAAACAGAAACAGTTGGGACATTTGAAAATGAAGTAGATTGGAATTTTCAGTGATAAGATTAGATCACCTGATTTTTTCTGCTGCTTTGTCGAAATGAATTTATTCCTCAACCCAAATGTATAGGTTTCCAAGTCGCAATTTTACTTCAGCTTCAAAGAGCCTGCGTTGTGTTTTCCCCTCAGAATCAAGAGAAGTTTAGACTCAACAGGATGGTGTCCACCTGAAGAAAAAGCAAAGTAAGCACATTAACTAATTAGAAGAGATTCAGTTCTAAACAGAAAGATAAGGAAACGTCTGCTGCAGCAGCTGGAAAAAAAAGTTCAGCTGGGTCTTGTGAAGCAGAATGTTCTCCTTTCTGGCCTGAGGGAAGAAAAGATCTGTCATCCTGATATCCCTGCCTTTTCCTTATGGCAGTTCCAGTAATGATGCAACTTGAAGATAAAGCACTTCAGAATTTACCCATTATCTAAGAGCCAAGATTTCAACTTCAGGCTTGTTCCCCTTGACTTTCATTCCCTCTCTTTCTTCCCACTCTTCAAATTGTCTCCTCAGTTTTCCCTTTCCCCCACAACCCACAGCAACATCTGCCTTACATAGGGATGATTTTTTTCTTAAAACCTCAATTCGTGTGAATTTTCTTCTTCTTTCTGAATCACTCCTTGATATCAATGAGATGTGAGGTTTTCGTTTAATGGTTTCACTAAGAATAAGAAAGGGACAAGGCATTTCTAGCTTCTGCCCACTTCTCCCTCCTACTGGCAATTACCAGTTATTCTTGAGAGTACTTCTTGCCCCATTTCCTGTCCCT